GGCAACCTTCAACTTTCTCGGGCACTTAGGACCATTTTTCAACCGTAGTTTTTAGCCATTCTGCTCTCATATGAAAGCTCAAAGACCTAGGGAGTTGATCCTGGCAAGGATTTACACAATCTCACCATTTTTTGGGCCAAACAATCTCCTTTTTCAAAAGATACTTGTGAGGGGCACTTTTAATGCTAATGAGCTGGCCAGAAACTCTCACTTGAATTATTGGTCTGCACCCTTCAGAGCTTTGCGACAAGGCCTTGTCAGAGCGGTTCGTGGGTGGTAGTGGTTTGTGTGTGTGAGCGGGTCGTGTGTGCGTGTGACGTGAGCAGAGCGCGGTTTGTTGAACGGGCCCTCTGACGGCGATGGGTCGTATTATTCATTGTTCGCGAATAAAACAACAGGAAGGTCTTGTAAACAAGACTACGTGCTGTGTATCTCGGCATGTGCAGTATTGCATCGAAAAACCGCAGTGCGTCTACCTAATGCGAGGTCAATGGGAATGCTGCGCGCTGGAGATTTTTTCTCTTTTCTCCTGGTCACAGCGATAAGTTGTAGTTAGTTGCAAAGAAAACATCACAAACATTGCTATGACATTTCTGGTCCCATTTGTCTGGCTAAGCTGCAGGCAGTAATCAGACATAATTGGAATGTTTACTATTGTTCATCTGACCGCACAGTGATGATCATGGAGCGCTTTGAAGTGCCAGACTTGTAACTCCTTCTTTGTTCTTCCTTTATGTTTATATGAACGCTGTAAATTCTCGTCTGCTCTTCAATCTTGTCAACATTTTCATTTCATTTTCAGTGGAATTTCGTATAAATTGAAATTCAACCAGTCGACCCAAACCTCAGTGCTTTAAGAATCCAATGTTTCTCTGTAAAGCAGTTTGTTATAAATCCTATTTTTTTTCTTTTAAAAAACAAAACAAAACAAAAAACAATACCCAACAAAGGATACCACATTCAATTTTAATTTTCCTTGTAAGGCCAATATGCTGTTTCAATCAGTCAAAGGGTTTTAATTTATCTTGCAATAAAGTATGCATATACTACACATAAAAAGGACCGTTCCAATTTAATCTATGACCATGAAATAACAAAAGAATTGTTGCCTGCTGTGACAGGGTCCATGGGTTTTGTAAACCCGAGTGGCAAATGGCACTCTGGACTTCGCCTCAAGCGCCAGTTGCTCCCTTGGGTCTACAAAACACCATGGACCCTTTACCCAGCAGGCTCTTCGTGAAAAAATGAAAGTCTCAGGTGACCTGTACTTATACTTCATATTTTACTAAGGCCTTTCCCAATACGTTTTGTACGTGTGTACGAGGGGCAGCCAGATCTGTGTCTCTTCATGGAAACGCAAAATGCAGTTATCGAGATTTTCGTCTCCAAGTAACCACATTAATGTACGTTTGACATTAATCAGGGGCGGATCCAAAAATTCCGGGGGGTTTCAGGCCAGAATTTTTATTTTTTGTGGACGAGCAGAAGTGATGATGCAAACATTGTACACGCCATACATTATTAAAAAACGTGTTTGGTGCGCTTACAATTTAATTAGTTGTTTTTATCATTTTCCCAATTTCAAAGAGTTAACTTTTTGAAGGAACTGTTCTATTACAGTGGAAAGAGGCTATTGTGATACCAATCCCGAAATGGAAACCTGCCAGTATCGGCAAACTATGACCAGTTTCACTCATCGTTGCCAAAATTGCTGAAGGTTTCATTGTAGATTGGATCCTGGAGGATATTGCCGATAAGGTTGATCTCAATCAGTTTGGTAATGTCAGAGGAGTATCAACGAATCATTATTTGGTCAGGCCAGTAGATTGTCTTTATCAACGTAATGAGAAAAAATGTACCCTTGGGACAGTGGTCTTAACGGATTTCACGAAGGCATTTGATCTTGTTGACCAGGGGCCACTGTCCCGTGGACTTGTGATTTTCTGCATTATTGAAGACAGTGTGTATGCTATAAAATACTCTTTCTGTGTTCATTTCGGTGATAGGATCCCACAAGGTACAAAGCTGGGTTTCATAGTGATCAATGCCACTATGCAAGGTTTCCGATGTAATTAATGGAAGTATCATTATGAAGATGATTTAACACTTTCAGCCAGTTTCTCTAGTCTGCATCATGAACATATTCAGAAATATCCAGGTGCATTGAATAATTGGTGTAACAATAATAGAGCAAATTTATTCAATGATATCATTGTGGAAACAACTTATATAACAAATGTACATTTGTCACTGAAAAATATAAATTTCATAACATTCATAAGAAAATGACAACATTTAAGTGTTAGGTTATGTAAGTGCTTTTGTATCCTAACCTATGGACAGACAGACGAGGATAGGAGGCAATCAGACAAAAACATTCTGACAAGGGACAAATAAATCATAGCTACGACTGACAAGTGTGAGACAAGGGCAAGATGCTTGATTAAAAGAGCACTTCAGAAAAGTTACGTCTTATTTCTTTAAAAACTGATTTTTGAGTTTCTTCACACAGAGAGCGCTCGAGTATGATTGCATGACGTTTTTCATTTTGAGTCACCCCAAAATCGTATCCATCCACGGTGCACGAAAATTCAAACCACTTTGCATCCATTTTTATCATCAAAACTGTACATCCAGCACGGAGATGACGAATTTCTGTTAGATTGTACCGATTTCGTTAGTACTGATACCATTTCATAAGGTAGAATCGTTTAGTGGTATTCGTTACTTCCGCGAGTAGTGCGGTACCGAGAGGTCAAAGTTTTCCGCTTTAGCACATGTGCATGAATATGTACATGTACATGTCACGCGTATTCAAACACGCACACACGACTGCACTTGACCCATGACTCGCCGCTAGAAGAATGTCACTCAAAAGTGTGTCCTTACAAGAGTATGGTGCAAGGGTATCCTCTTTTTTGTCAAAAGTTTGATAAAGTAATAATTCCTGATTCTAAGAATTAAGTTTTATTGGGACATAATTTTTTTGTTTATATGAGATAGGCCTATGTGACGTAATTTTTCATTACAAAATGTCTGGATTCACACGATTGGGCGCGAAAACCTGGTTAAATTTCAAACTTATTTCTCAACAAATTTATCCGGCGGATTCCAAGGTTTTTAGGTGTAATCGGGACAGTCTTCTACTTCGTATGAATCTAGTGTTTATAATCAGGGAAACTATTTTCAATAGATATTGATCAAATTTCGAACACTCATTTTTTTCAGGTGAAAAATAAAATAATTTTGGATCTCTGTTTCATTACTTCTTGAGGCAGGGCACAAAATCAATTCTACTGAAAAGTAAAACGACTTATGTATTTTGAATTTGCCATGAAGAATTTCATCATTTATGGTCCGTTTCCTGGAAATCCATTTAAAAAAAGCACGCTTCAAAGTTTTGCAATCGGAGCGCTTGAAATCAGACATAGCCCGTTGATATGCCGTTGTTATTTTACAATGATTTCAAGAAGAGGAGAATTTGCTTGTCTATTTGCTGGCGTTAATTTTTTCATTTCAACCCAGGGTTCGAAGATACTGAAACGTTCTTTTGGCAGCATTTGTGACAGAGACAAAGAACCGTTTGTTAAAGAATGGGTACCGACGGGATGCTTTTCTTTAATGAAGAGGGGCCTCCATCAGCGACCATACTACCGCCAACAGTCAATCAACACCCCGCCCCCTTCCATAGCTGTCGAGAAAGACCAGAGAGACTGAACATTGATACAAGACAGGCCCTGGCTTGCCCAGGCACCGTCTGTGTAAACACTCCCTTATTCTCCCATATCGCCAGGTGCCTGAGATATTTATACACAATCCCAGGGGACTTGGCTAAAGGCTAGCCTTTCGTCAAGGCCTTCATGGCTGTGCGTGTGTAACTGCAAAGCGACTGGACAGGAGATCAATGAGTGAGGTTTTTGTAGTGAATTATTCATAAGATTTTTATATGCATTTATTCATAAATTTCCTTTAAACTGTTGAAGCGTCATAAAGTCTCCGAAATAAACGGCATTAACTCCAATTAAACTATTTCTGTGACGTCACTACTTTTTTACGAATCTACTTCGAATTGTAGATTCGTAACTTACGAATCTATATAGATTCTCTATAGAAAATGGCAAAGGTTTTTATCCCTTGTGTTTTCAAGATGGATGCTTTTTAAAGCAAAATTTTCAACAAGGACTTAAATTTTCTCTTCATCTTTCAATAAGGAATGAACTTGATGAATTTTGGCTGCATTTCTGTGTCTAGGTTTAGCCCACTCTTTTTTATAGAGTTGGATTATAGCTTAATTGAATTGACACATCTTTTAGTTGTCCCCAGATCATAGCGGTCCTGAGTTGACAGATCTGCCAGAATGGCTTCTCCCCGAGCACATATATAATCTTGCTTGAAGAGTTAGCCCGTAAATTTTCTTGTATTGCAAATATTTTATTTTAGGAAGAAATGTGCGCTTTAAAAACATTCTTAAATGTTATTATTTAACTCCAAAATTGGCACTCTACGTGTAATTTGAATCCAAGTGAAATAGCAATCTGTAGTGGGGGGCATTTCGGAATCACTCATGTATAAGAACATGCAGAAATACTGCTCAGACAACTGACCCGCATTCACGGCCGCCGACACACTTAACACGGTCACCATCTTTCGTATACTCATTTTGCAAAATAGGTTAATGTACTGACCCCTTCGCTTATGAATGGTTGGGATTTTGCTACGCCAATGGGGCAGCAAAATGGAAAATGCAAAGAAAAACAAAAGAAATTCCTGACAAGTTGGAAAAGGCCCTCATGCTGAGCCACTCGTGAATGTAGTCTCCTCTCCAGTCGCTTTGCGGTTACACACACACAACTACGAAGGCCTTGATGAAAGGCTAGCCAGAGGCCGGCTCAGGTATAATTTTTCGCAGCCGAGGGGAAGTCCCGATGTTAAAGGTGACTAAACTAGGCTGTTCAGCATGAACAGAGATGGGATTAGATGGAAGGTGATTGCATTTGGCCGTAATTTATTTAATCGAAGCAATTAGCAAAATGGCCGTCAGCAGCTGACGTGCTCTTGCCAGGGTCCATTCACAAAGACGACCCGCGTGAAATCAGCCATAGTCTGTTGCTATGTCGTTGTTAAGTGTAAATCTTGCACACGCGCACTTTGGTATTAGCGCCAAGAACATACGGCACTGGGCAAGCCAGGCAGTGCTTGTGTAAACAATCCCTGATGACTGCCATCTGGAAGATGTTTGTACACATTCCCATGGGAATAGGCCAGACCCCAGCTCGGGTCTTTTTTTTTCTGGCTAAGGGGAAGCCCCTATGTTTACGGTGACTAAACCAGGCTGTTCAGCATGAACAGAGATAGGATGTGATGGGACGCGATTATAATTGGCCGGAATTTTTTCTAATCAAATGATCAGCAAAAATACCAATCAAAAACGGTTGGCATTCTTTAATACACATGGCACTTTATTTCGTTTGTTTGGATAAACTGGAGAAGTGGTTTTAAAATGGGAAAGACTGTGGACGGATTTTGTTGCATGTTAATTTTAATTTTTCTTAATTACCTTTTTCAGAGTTTGTTCCAAATTTGTGTAACTTGGTTTATATAATATGATGGTATAATGTTGTTTAATAAATTTTTAGTTAATCAGGTTATCTTTTTGAATTGTGTATTTTGTTAAAAATAAGATATGGTCTCCATGTGCGGAAAGAAGTGTTAATTGGAACGGTGTGGTGCGTTACCAGCCTCGAAATCCACACTACAATGATCGAGTCCGTATGCGTTAACTCTCAACTGATAGGTGCACAAAGGCATGGGAGGGAATATACGTGCGCCTTCACCAAGGCCGGATAGATTCAAATTGGCTCATTCGCAGGTTCGGTGTCTGATCTGCCATCGGCTGAATGAGAACGTGTCTTGGATGTTGGATTTGGGCGCAATTCCAAACATCAGGCGGCATTTTTTGACTTGAAATCAAAATTCTATAATATAATACAGTTTTCTTTTGGAATGTACAGTATTCACTGAGCTAAAACTTAATAAGGTTAGTCCATAGGCACCCCTTTTCACATTTTGAACTTTTTCGTGGCCTCGGTGAACATAATGCACTAATGAAAAACAATGGATTGTACATGTCCCTTTAAAGTGGGCTTATTGGACAACTACACAAAAGTCACATTCTGCATGCCAGTGTCACTGGCCTTGCATTGAATATCCTCTTTTTCCATGTTCTCCACGAAACGTACAACTCTAATTCCTCACTGGCTCTCAGCAGGCGCCACTTGCAATCACTAGCAGTAGAGATATAGACCCTCAGGTTGTCAGAGAAAGGAAACAGACATTTGCCAAACAGCAACTCCAAACAAGACTGTTTCTATCGAAAAATTCAACCCGTGCACTGAATAAACTTGTCGGCGTTGTTAAAAAACGGTGAATAAGCCGCCACAGCTACAGTTTTGGGGAAAAGAGACGGGTTCGTGGTAAAACATGTCGTTCAGCAATATAAACATAACTCCTTTTTGTCATCGCTGCAGTGCAAGCTTCACGAACGTGTGACGTAAGAGGACCAGCAAATCCATTATTCATGCCACCACCGAGCGAAAAGAGCCCTCTTGTCGGGAAAAACCCTTTAGGCAGCGGCAACGGGGCTCAGAGTAATAGAGCAGTCGGCGCGGGACGACGGACAATGGGTAATGGAGCAGGCACACAATCCCGGTCCCCCGGCACTGCTAACCGGTCTGAGAATGGCAAAGGGAAGGAAGACTCCGAGTTGCTTCAGCTCAAGGCAAAGGTGGCCCAGCTGGCCTTGGATATCATGGACAGGGATGCCGAACTCGGGATGGTTCGGAAGGAGATCAAGTCCTGCAACGAGCTCCTCTCAGAGCGGGAGGAGGAGATCGGAAAACTCCGCGAGGAGGTTCACAAGCTCCGCTCTGTATTGCAGCAGCGAACACTGCAGGATGTAGTGCAGCCAGATGTCCTATCCACCATTCACGAGGAACGAGGGATGGCCGGGGCAAACAAAGACCGAAACAAGAAACAGGGGGTGTCTGGCGAAAGTGGAATCCAGGATAACGTGACGTCAGCAGATGATAATTATACCTTGCAAAGATACGAGAAGACATCCAGGTAAGTTTATACTTATTCAAATAATGAAAATGACATGAAAAAAGTACGAGGACAAAGTACGTGAGAGGGCCTTTAACTATGATTACATTGGCATTCAACATCAGCCCCCCCAATAAAAGAGCCAGGTGCACGGCTGCATCAAGGAAAAGCCAAGTCTGATCCTCTTTGAAATTTCGCAATTGTGACATGGGAAGAAGTGAATTTTTGCCAAATATGATCTGCTTAATAGATCCTTTTTGGAGACAAAGAATGCATTCGAAAATATTTCAATCAACATCCCAATTTATATTGTATATAAATTGGGATTGAGTATGCGCCTTTCAATGATTATGACACGTATTCCTTCAGTAGGAATAAATTATGATGTGTGTGCAACGAAAGTGTTATTCGACGTTTTCATCCTTGGCCTTGATCTGTGTATAGAGTTTCTTGTTTCTGTGAGTTGCGAATCATGGGAGAAATAATAGTGCCTCTCTTTCATCGCCAAGCATCACTACAAAGAAAAACCTTCAGCTCTCGCTTCATGCTCTTGATCTGGTTTATATCTGCTTATCTCTGCACGCTATGCCTGGCCTTGTTCTGTGCATAAAAAATTTAATTTCTAAAAGCACACAAATACACACTGCCTTAAGTTCCTCGCCTGAATGTGCCTCGCTTGTGCATGCCTGTCATTGTCGCAGGAGTTTTCCTTGATAGTATCTTGTGGTTCTTGACTTTCTGGAAAATCTGTAACTTGGGGAAATTCTTCCGAGATTAGGCTTAGTCATCCATGTGTGTCATGCAATTGCTGTTGTCAGCGAGCTGCACATAATGGTGCACGTTTGGAGGAGTGTTTTTGATCTTATTGCCATGGAGTCCACTCATTTGCTATGACAATCAGTCAAATGAAATTGATATTTCATGGTAGAGTTGCAGATTATAGGTTTCATTGAGATGCCTAAATCCAGCCGTTGGGAACATTCAAATGAACCAAGTAATTATAGATAAAGTTACTGCATGATGGACATAAATCTCAGCTGTAAGTAAATGCTGTGGTAATACATAGACAGTAGATAAGGCAGCATTCAAAATTACCATTGTAAAAGTATTGGAAATTACGTGAAGAGTCATCAAAGAACTTCCCAAATTTTTCCACTCCCAATTATCATTTGGTCAGGTCACGGGTTCCACAAGGTTGTGTTTATCAACGCAGCCCTGCTCGGTCAGCGGTAATAGAAGCGTATTATTATTATTTAACGTACACATGAAACCGCACATTAGCCTGCTCACAATCACCTCAAATACCTTTAAGATAATGCTGTTTCTACAGTTTGCTAATTGCAAAGAGCTGTCTTTGTATCAGTGATGTGGGCCTTACACAATGCAATATGCCAGCAATTTTCCGTCCAGCAACGTTTGGCTAGCTTGCAATGAGCTTACTCGGTAATTTTAATAATCTGAAAGAAATATTGTCTTTAGAAATTCATAAGGGGTAGTATGCATGAATACCTTGCCGTGCAAAGCAGCAATGACATGTTTGGTGTCACTGTAGTCTGTGCGTTTAACTGTTCACACAGTTTGACATGCTCTCGTACAATAGATACGATTGAGGTTTTGGGTGACAGCTCGAGACACGTTGCTGCGTGAAGCCATTTTTTGTTAGATTGTAATGTCTTCCTGAGCAGGAAATGATGGCCATTGCTTGTGCATAACGGCGAGGATTTTTATATAATCAGACAGGCGGGGTTCATTCAGCGAGCGCATAATGTCAGTTATTACAATGGATACATGAGCTGGCATGATTTGGCGTAGTCAGTAATTATTTTCAAACGGGCAACATGGCCGACACGGAACTCTCCACTCTGCCGTAATGCACGCTTTGCATCTGAAAGCTTTGCTCTGAGAAGCACCTTTGGGGACATGCTGACACAGAGAAAAAACCTGCTGTAGACAAACGTGGTGAATTGGCGTCAGAAGTAACATCATAGATTTGTTGTGAGCTGTCCATTTTAAGGAGAAGAAATACAAGGAATACATCTTTTCAAGATATATGCTACCGATGAATGGTATCAGCCTTTCTTGTATAGCCGTCTCTGCCTTAGGTAGTGCATGTAGTCTTAGTATAATGAACTTTAAGCAAAAGACATTTTATACTGACAAAATCACTGTATTGTGCTCGTATAGTGTTGCGTTCCTTAACATCCCGGTCGAGAATATACACCTTTACTAAAACTACTGCCATATTTGTACTATTATAATTGTCGAAAGGAAATCTTAGATGGAAGCTGCCCAACAGGGAAATACTGGGAACGTTGCACGTGATCAACATGGTGTGTTCTTCTTTGCCACTGAGAAAAAAGCAATATTGACCTATATTGATGTCACACAGTGCTGTAAATTTGATTTTCTTTATTACTTTTTTCGCAATTTTGCGAAAATGGTATTCCTTTTGTTCTTTTTTTTTCGTTGTTCTGTCACCGGCTGAAAAGCTTTTGTTTTTCTTAAGTTGTTAACTGTTTCGAACACCGGCAAGTTGCAGAAAAGACGTTCTGTTTGTTGTGTTTTTAGCCTTTTTTGGAAATTGCAAAAAGGGCATTCTTTTTGTTCTTTCTTTGGCTTCTTTGCAATTTGGTGAAAAAGGGCTTTCATACATATGTTAAATTGGTAAAGATCATCATGATGTTATTGTTCTATGCACATCTTCGACCTAAGGACTTTCATTGGTGGAAGTTTGATGAAGATCCAAAGTTGCAAAAGGACCAAAGTCGATGGCAGGAGAAATGTGCACAAAACACATGGGCTATTGGTCAGAAGAGGAAGGAAAAGAAGGAAGAAAAAAAACACAGAACAAAAAGAATGCCTTTTTTGCAAAATTGTGAAAAAGCCAAAAAATAAGAACAAAAAAGAATGGCTTTTTTGCAAAAAGCCAAAAAAAAAACTTTAACGAAAGCAATAGCTGCTTCGGCAGTACACCGAAGAAGCTAAAAAAATTAAATGAGAATCCTTTTGTGCTTTAATCTAAATGTTAACTCGCTGTGTGAACAATTGCATTCGGATGGTGCTGCGAGGGTGATTCTGAATGTGTGTTTAATTCTGCTTTTTTCCCAAACCCTTGGTTTTCGTACAAAGCACCATTTTACCAAATTCCAGTCATGTACGAGAGGTGAGTTCCAATTTAACGGAATACACTTGACTTAGCGTGTATGCAGCGAGGATGCAGTGGTCAGGAGATGAGTTTCTTAGCAACGGGAGTCCAAAACAGAAAAAAAATTGAAGTGCTGAACAAAATCCATAATGTGATGACAGAACTAGGAATACGTGTGTGTTCATGGCTCGAATGAAAGGTAGTGCTAAAAAGCGTAAAAAGTGAGTCGGGGTAAGCTGCCTCTATTAGTCGATCCGTTGCAAATTTTAACCCAGATTGGAAAAAGGTTTAAAAACATGTATTTTTTAAAGCACTGTTTTAATTACAAATCATGAATGTTGTCAGCAGACTTTTCGAATGACGCAACTATGCATATTTTCACAAATGTACATTTGAAAATATTTGCTGAGTGGGTCTGTCGGTGCTGCCTTAAACTTGCAATTAATTACCTCATTTGATAAAACCCGATAATCTAGTATTTTCTTTGGTTTTGTTGTAATAAAAGTAGCTTGTGTCTCCCCCAAATACATGCCAGATCTGTTAACTGCAAAAATTGGACTTACGTGTATTATCCTGAGGTTTATTTCATTTCAGGGTAGAAGAATATCTTTTGTAAAGAAGAAATCAAAATAGTATGGACCACAAGGTAGGGGGATTGTGGAAGGCTGCATTATAGTATAACTTGATGTGCGCCATGCAAGAAAAGTAAATTTCCTTGTAGTAATATCTGATTGTTACCTGCGCTGACAAAATGCTGAAACTGTGCAGTGACATTTGATTTGTTTTTTTGTATATGCAGCTCAAAAGAGCTAATAAAAAGTGCCATCTTGGACAATGACTTCACCAAGAACTTTGATGCGACCCAGGTCAAGGAGATTGTGGAGTGCATGTACCCAATGGAGTTTGGTGCGGGACAGCTTGTCATCAGGGAGGGCGACGCAGGGGCACACTTCTATGTGGCTGCAGGTGAAATCCCTTGTAGCCTTAGACTGAGCAGAACCGGTAGCAGATGCTATACAGTGACCTATGGTGCACCCAATAGGGGCAGGGGACGAAGTCCCCCCCCCCACCACGGTGACACATAACCATTTTTAAATGCAGAATTCAAAATGTCAAATCTAAAAACCGGGGATTGAAAATATGGACAGCCATTTCAGAAAAAAAATCCCCTGGAATCAAAAACCTTGAAACAACTAATGTATGCCTATGAAGGAGGTTTTGAAGCAAGAGCATTCTATAAAAAATACACAAGATAAATATTCTTATTCCTCTCTTCTTTTCTTTCATTCCGCATGTATTGTATGTTTTTATTTCAAACGTGTCCCTCGTTCTTTTGCAGAGTAAACCTAATTGTTTCTTCTTTTCCTCGGGAATGTTCATGTTTCAGATGGGAATCTTGAAGTCAGTAAAAGTGGCAAGAAGCTGGGTAAGATGGGACGAGGGAAGGTTTTTGGAGAACTCGCCATCCTCTACAATTGTACAAGAACGGCCTCTGTCATTGGTATGTTCTCTCAGCAGCTCCTCCACAACTTCCAGCTTTTAAAAGTAATAAACCTTTTTCATTCCAAAAACTATAGAGGCTTAAATGACCATCCATGTTACCACGTTACTGAGTTAACTTACCGTTGAAACAGAGAAACATACACTGGATAAAACTGACTGCAAAGATATGTTATCCCAAAACAACGAATTCTACGGTTACGCTTTGAGAGAAGACTGATTTCAATAATTATATAAATATAGCTATTTGAACTTGCATAACGATAACGCATTTTGGAAACTTGGAATTCTAGGATAATGTATTTCGGAAAAACAATGACAATGGAACATGGAATTCCTAAAGGGCGTCATACCAGCACGTTTCAGACCCGAGCGCAGATGGGGGGGGGGCAACGGGGCATACCCTAGCCAAAAATGAGGATTTTAAAAATCAGAATAGAGATATTAAGGAGGATAATTGTTCAGTATGGACAGAGCCATTTTGTTGAGGAAATTATGTCTGAGCAGCTGCTTTATATAGGCTCTATTTTGGCCTGGGAGATCATTCAATGCAAAAAGGCACCGGGGAAGTTGCTTATCGGTTTGGCCCCCGAGTCTGGTAATGGCCTTGTTCAGACCTTCTGCTATTCATCTTGTTTCCATTCCAATTTCAACCGTTTGCTCAACACGAAGGATGAATACCCGTGTCTCCGTCAGAAATAATTATATAGGCCATGACCATTGAATTCTGGGTTTCTGACATGCATTAGCATTGAATTCCGAGTTTCTAAGATTGCATTGTTGAATTTCATCTATCATGACATGTTTCCAAGATGTTTCCATGTTGTCTTTGAATTCTGTATTTCAGAGATATATTACCATTGAAATCAGCATTCCCACAAAGCGTTATCATTGAATTCCGAGTTACAGGGATAATTAGCTGTTTTTCCAGACACCAGCTGAAACAGCTTTTGTTCTCAGTACCTGCCGAAACAGATTTTTCCTCCATTTCTTTTTCGCAAGTTGAGAAAAAGGCCTTCTTATTGTTTTGCTTTGCTCTTTCGAAATCTTGCGAAAAAAGGCATTTTTGGGCGGTTTTTCCCATGTTCCGAAAGAGGCATTCTTCTTGTTCTTTATTCGTTTTTTTTTTCTTTTTTACATTTTGCTAAAATGGCATTCTTTGTGAGAAGAGCCACAAGGGAGAGAAGCATAGGGGTAGCCAAGGCTAATTATTTGGCACAGCCATCAGTCATAAACGAGGCAACCCTCTTACAAGCAAGGTTTAAGAATCCTGGAATTACAGCCAGAAATTTGCAGTGTCACAATGGCCAGCAATGCGGCAATAATTGTCAGTTCAATCACCAAGCCTATTTGGCAACCGAGCCATTACAGCAACAAATACAATACATGTGTACTTTACAGCTCAATATGACCACCCGTTAAATGATAATGGTGTTGGATGACATCCTCAACATACACCACCGTTAATACAGGGCCCAAATGGCCAATAAGCAAGGTTTTAACTTTACAAAGGTTTACAGCGTTATGATTTTACCAATCCCCACGTGAAATTACCTTTTCTATTGCAATGGTACTTCAAACTACTAAACCTAATTATAACACATTAAATTGTATGGTTTACCACTCTTGGTTTCTACCAGCACAATTTGCCTTTTACTCTGACATTATCAGTACAATGGCAAGCCCAAATGGCAAACAAGCAAGGTTTTACAATCATGGCTGACAAATAATAAGGATACTAACAATCGCCCATACCTTATCCGCACCAAGCCAGGTTTTTCAATTTGGAGTATACTTTACAGGTCAAAATGATGGCAAACACGTAGAAGTATGGTTGAGACTGTGATTTTTCCATTCATGAGTACTATGTGATACCTAAATACACAAGATTAGGGTTTGGCACTTGACAATCTGAAAGAGTTATTCATTTATGTACAGAACTCTGCCATCAACAATTGTATAAGGGGAGAGACCAAGGAAGTGTATAGGGCCAGCCGACCCGGCGATAGTATATAGTCTAGTCTGAATTGAATGGCTCATGTTGCGGTTCATATCAACCCCAATCACCGTCCACTTTGTTAGCTGTTTCGGCTGTCAGCCGGAACAGCTATTGTTTTCGTTAGATTTTTTTTTCTTTTTTGGATTTTTTGCAATTTTGTCCAAAAAGCAATTTTTTTGGCTTCTTCTTCTTCTCCTCTTTCTCCTGCTGAAAATCCCATTTGTTTAGTGCTTTTGCAACTTGAGGTTTTCATCAAACGTATACAAATGAAGAACCCTTATGCATAGACATTATATACCCTTATGAAACATGACATCATGGTGACGTCAAATGGTGATTTATTATTGATCTTTACATATTTATTTTATGCCATTGACTCTGAATATATTTTAAAGGCACAATTTGGGTTACTTGGCGATCTTCAATTGTCATAAAAGTTACAGCCGTCAAAGACCATGCTTCAAAATCGTAGCCCAATTTATGATGTCATGATGACGTCATCATCTTATTTTAAATTGATTTTTGAATATTTTATTTTTCCCCATAGGTTTTGTACACTTTTTTCTACTTAGCACTACTGAACAAACAGTCCATTATTCGGCTCAATATTACTGTAAGAAAGAAAGAGAAATCAGGTACTATACGCTTTGGAAGAGGCTAAATATGAAGTAACATGTCATTAGAATTGTTCAGTTTAAGCACAAATCACGTGACATGAACTTAAAGGAGCAGTGTTTGTACATGTTTTCAAGGCACAATTTGGGTTTCTGTGCGATCCTTAATTGTTATCAAAGTTGCAGCCGGTGAAAGACCATGGTTCAGAATCATACTCTAATTTATGACGTCGTGATGACATCATCACCATATTTTGTATTGATTTTTGAGTGTTAAATTTTTCCCCGTAGGTTTTGTACACATTTTTCCACTTAACATTAGTGAACGAGTAGACCTTAACTTCGGTTCAGGATACTATGAGAACGAAAGAGAAATCGTGTGCTTTACGCTGTATTAATCGGCTTGAAATATACCAGAGAGTCCGAATATGAAGTAATATTTCATTCAATTTTTCCAGTTTAAGCGCAAATCACTTGACATGAGCTTAACGGAGCAGTGTTTTTACAAACGATTTTATGGCCCATTGACTTTGTACATGTTTTCGAGTCACAACTTTGGTTACTTTGTGTTGTTTGATCGTTGCCAAACTGATAGCCAACAAAAACCCTGATGCAAGGTTTATTGCAAACGGCTGACGTCATGATGACGTCATCAGCTTATTTTATAGTGAATTTGAAATATTTTATTTTCTCCATAGGTTTTGTACGCGCTATTTTGACTTTAGGCATTAAATCTGAAAACTTCAAAGCCTTTTATCTCCTAAAGGATATGTCGTATCTGGTGGAAATCTTGCAGATAACTAGAAAGGAAAGTGTGACAGACGAATGTAGACCTGCTGTGCTGATGACGTCATCAGGGGATCAGTCACGTGACGTTAAAGGGGCATTCTTTATGGCACTATATCTTGGGAAGTAGATATCCTATCAGGTTCAGTCATGCAGATATCTTGAAAAGGGAGTGCTTTAGAGGAATATTAACCCGATGTGATGATGACGTCTTTAGGAGAGAAGTCACGAAACATTAAAGGTGCAACCTTTAAGGCCATATATCTCCTAAAGTACATGTCCAATCGTGTTCAAATCATGCAGATATCTTGATCAGGGAGCGCTTTAGAGGAATATTGACCTGATGTGATGGAGAGAGAAGTCAAGTGACATTAAAGGTGTATTCGTTAATGCCTTATATCTCCTGAGGTACATGTCTGATCCGGTTCAAATCTTGCAGATATCTTCAAAAGGAAGTGCTTAAGAGGATATTGACCTCATGTGACAATGACGTCATCTGGAGACAAGTCACATGTCATTCAAGGTGCACTGTTTAAAGCCCTATACATGTATCTACAAGTATATATCCGTACGTATCCCATTGATTTCAAACGTTGCAGAAAAGGAAAGAAAGCGTTATAGACGAAAATGTACCTGATATGATGATGACGTCATCAGACGAGGAGTCAATTTTACATTTTCTTTAAAGCACGTTATTTCCTGAAGTACATGCGTGATTGGGTTTAAACCTTGTACCCAAGTGGTCAGAATGAAAGATTTACGTCATCAGGTTTTTGCAGTAGATTGGTTGTTCAACTTAAGAAAAGGATGGGAAAAAGCCCCCTCTTCTATTGGCAAACAGACAGATGACCTCTAGTTTTTCTTTTTCAACCCAATTCCTTCCACCAGTTGACTTTGGCAGTTTACTAAATCTGATCGACTTCAAACTTATCAGACCTTTGGACTATCCAAGAATAGCCCTAGAAGAACTTTGTTATGTAACGTCATCACGTGATTTCTTTTTTGAAATTTGAATATTTAATTTTTCCCATTCACTTTGTACACATTTTCAAACCACCATTTTGGTAACTTTGCGATGCTTGATTGTTATCAAAGTGATAGCCAAGAAAGACCCTGATAAAATTTTTGTAATTTTAAGATGTATTTTTGCGTTACGGAGAAATATCTGATATTAATTTATATAACAGGTTTTTGCCCTTACCTTACCTATATTAATAATCACTTTATGCTCCATGCTTGTCCGAGAGCTTGCGAAAAAACCTCACAAGCTTTGTCAGGTGGGATGACTTGACCTAATGCTATCATCAGGTTCATGCAGTTGATTAGTTTAGTTTAAAAAAGAATGCGAAGAAGCGTTCTGTTTTTTTGGCAAACAGACAGACGACCTCTAGTTAGTTCTATTTCCAATTTTGCCCTTAGACATAACACAGGGTTGTTCTATACACGACTTTCGCCACTTGCTTTTGGTTGATTCCCTTCAAACCTTACAGAGATTTGGAATACGATCTAAAGATGTAACTTTATCACCCGATTTATTATAGAATTTTGATATTGAATTTTCCTTTTACGTTTTGTAAACATTTTTGAAAGCCCTGTAGGCCACTTGGCAATCTTGCAACTTCATCAAAGTTACACAATAAAGAGCCTTACAAATTAAAAATATACTGTAAAAATCATGTCATGCTTGTGTCATCAGGTGTCAAATTACAATTTTTATTCATGACAAATCTTTTATAATGCACACAAAATCAACTGTGTCTTCCCGCAACTTGCTTTTTGCACCAAGTGATAGTTTAATCTTCGTTTTTTATTCCTTCTCTTGTACGTAAAATCGCTTGACCCTTACTTTCCCTTCGAAACTGGTCCAAACCAGAAGTGCTTTATTCTTCCAAATTGATGATGAATATGAACCTAATTCCAATGGTGTTAGTCTCCGACACAATAGCATTCCTCAAAACATGCCAGGTGACGTCATGCAACGCTCGAGCATCCTCCGGCTACAGGTTTGAAAAATTTTAAAATCATTTTGGATAGATATCTGTGGTGAAGTTTGCCACAATCGCTTGAAAATCGGTAGATACAGTGACCTTAATAACTGCAATCTGTGTGCAAAAATTCGGGTTGATGACATCGTCATACTGGAAGTTATAATAATAAAGAAGACCTTCACGTTCAATTAAAAAATGCTTTCCATTTATCAAAACATGTTTAAAAATGAATAGAATTTGTATCCGAATGAGTGAAGGGAGAAGAAAAAGACCATTTGGATGGTATCGGTAATGTTTTGGCATTTTCGGCCTAGTCTGTGTCAAGAATTCTCCGGATCATATCGGTCGGAGTACTCCCCAATTACGAAGCAGATCTAGGGTCGAAATGATTTAATCTTTGTAACAATTTTTACAATTTGAGGCGCAAGAAAAAGTGTTGACGTTAAACTGAATTTAATATGGACAGGTGACGTTCCGAATAGTTCGACTATTCCAAGAAATCTGGTGGAGTGTTGGTTACGTGGACATTGGGTGATACCGGACCTTTGATTAGAAGAGTAGTCGGAATAATTGGGTTTGATATCCAGACTGAGTCTTAATATGCAGGGAGTTGAGCTAGCTTTAGCTAACTGGCCGCGGCAAGATAGTAACTCGCCATGGCGAGATAGATCATTGTCATTGTGTTGTCTGTGACAAAAGTCAAGATTCCTGTTAACTCTATGTCTTAATTTCCTTCCTTAGCTGTGACGGATGCTAAGATTTGGGCCATAGATCGAACAGCATTCCAAGTCATAATGATGAAAACAGCCATGCAGAGACACGACGAGCATCTCCAGTTTCTCAAGAGGTAGGTTGTAGCCATCTTACAGTGTCTGGAACCCGTCTGACTCCATTTTTATTTCATTCATGTAAATTTAAAAATGCTGGAACTATCAGAACAGTGCCCTTTCAGAGAACAGAAAGTGTTTAATAAATTTCCGATGAGTGTTAGATCTCATAGTGTACTAATTGCTAAATTCTAGATGGATGATTGCAAAACCTTTCTTTCATGCCCTTGACAGTCAGGTATTCCCTTCAAAAGAATAAATTGGAAATTGCATCTCGTATCACTTTAAAACTCGCGTAATTTTTGTCATTTAGTGAATGACAGATATTGGCAGAAATATTTACTGTGATCAATACTATATTATTTTGTTAATCCCCATGGTGTATTAGTTCCAGTTTGATATGACTTCTTTGAGGATTAGAACTTAAGTGCTCATTGCATCAGGGAATTTTATGTTTCAAGGTAGATTTGCAAAATGTCTTGAAAATAGAAGACGAATGAGTGCTGAGAAACAGATGGACACTTCCTCCTCAAATAGATGTGGTTACTTCAGATTAAATTAATATGTTCAAATAAACTTATAGAAAAATACTTTAGATACAATACCTCTCACACTAATTTGCAACTGATGGAATTTCAGGCCATTCATGGCGAAAGACAGCAATAGGTGGGAAAGGCTTGCGTTAGCATCATGCGAAGGAATATACATCTCTCTTATGACCGTGTGTGGTCCTGAAAAGAACCGGGAGATACATCAGCAGCCTGACCTTCCTGAAGAGATGCAGAGATCCCGACACCATTCCACCAGGACTCCGCTTGCGTGATTTGGTCCGCAGCCACAAGTCCCGCTCCATCCTCCACAAGGCTAGCCTTTCCCTTTCCATTGCATTGGTGCTACCAGACCACCATGGAATCTTTGGAAAAAGAGATATTCACTTCCCAAGACCAGCTCAAGACCATTATGTCCCCAGTGGACTTCAAGAAGATTGAACGTTTCACCACGTCATCCAGCAACGACGCCTTCAAGCAAGCTCGTCACCGACAAATCAAGAAATTTCTCAAGATCACCAGCTCCAACAACATCTCACGCAGCAAACCGCCCCGCAGAGGCCCACTTACAACACTGCAAGACATCTAGCTAAGATTCTTCATCTCCTGTTTGGCAAGACCCAGCATCACATCAAGAACTTGGACCAGTTTTCATCCATCATTCAAGACCTCAAGTCCAGCCAGGCGACATCATTGTCAGCTTCGATGTCGTGTCCCTTTTCACCAACGTCACCAGACGCACACCACCCTCAAGGACCACAGCGACCTTACCCAAGCCAGCTCCACGACCTCCTCACGACCTGCGTCAACTCAACCAGTTTCCGATGGCGGGACAAATTCTTTGAACAGTTAGCTGGAACCTCTATGGTGTCGCCTATATCCTCGGTTCTAGCTGACATATTCATGGAAGAATTCGAGCAGACTGCCATCGCCACCGCAGACCACCGTCCCAAGATCTGGCTCCGGTAGGTTAACAACACATTTGTCATCTGGCAGCAGGGGCAAGACAACCTCCGACACTTTTTGGATCACCTTAACAGGCTTCACTTCACCATGGAACAAGAAAGAAATGGCAGCATTTCCTTTCTTGATGTTGAGGTGTCCAGAAGTCAAGATGGCCGCCTCTCCCGCAAGGTGTTCCGCAAACCCACTTACACCGACAGATACCTCAACAGCTCCTCCTTCCATCACCCCAAGATCAAGTCATCTGTCAACTGAGCCCTTGTTTGCAGGGCTTACAACATTTGCGACATGGAACACTTCACCGAAGAACTGCACCACATCTCCACAGCACTTCAACGAAAAGGCTACAAGCCCCAGCAGATCAAGATTCAAGACCCAAGACCAAGATCCCCTCCTGGCTGAAGGGTCTCCTACAGTATACTCAAAGCCAATTAGATAAGGCCCCTAGTTCTGTTCTCTACCCTACCTAGGTTGTACTTCCCACCACATCCAGCGTATTCTGAGCAAGCATGGCATCAAGGTATTCCACACAGCCCAGCCGAATGAGCGCCCAGCTGTGCATCCACCACTAGCATCCTCGTCACACCCCACTGCATCCAGTCACCCTATATATACAGCTCCATCTTCAGCATCTCTTCAGTCTCCTGACGATGGACTGAGCACGCAGTCTGAAACGTTGCGTATACTCCTGGTTCTTTTCAGAACCACACATACTCATAAGAGAGATATACATGTATTCCTTCGCATGGTGCTACCCCGGAAGCCTTTCCACCTAATTCTCAACTGATTTTTTTTATCCGGTACCTTTGCGCGACTTTTTGTTTTGTTTTATTTCTGGCCACTCTTTCCCAGTGTTGTAATATTGCAGTCACTGTCTGCCTCCAATTTGTTTAAACTTGCTGAGAGTCTGGAGGTAGATTTTTTTGTGGAAGGAGAGTACATCGTAAGAGAAGGAACAAGAGGAGACACTTTTTACATCATCAGCAAAGGATCGGTAGGTATTTCCCTCAAATTCCACTTTTTTCCCTTGTTCCCCAGTCCTTTTCCTGCCAACCCTTAGCGGGAAGTGTCATTGCCCAACTTTTGTTTTATCAATTTTTAATGTTATAGCTTGTGATTATGTGAGCCAGCTTTAGTGTGATTAACGGAAACAGAAGTTCCAAAAGAAAAAAAAAAGAAGGAAACAAAAACGTGTTTGTTATAATATTTTAAACATAGGCATTGATTTTAGGATCAAACACCCCCACTTGTTACCTTTTATAAATTAAAGGGCCTTGGTCTCTAAATCTGGGAAGATCCGTACTTTATAAGAAAAGACTTGTCAATATGTTATATAATTTTTTAACGCGTGCCTGTAACACTTTCTGAACGTGTTAATAATCAAAAGCTAAACACTTTATGGTGTTTATTTTGTGAACAATATGTATTGAATAAGAAATTGGACACAATGACGCATTAAGGGGGTTTAAATAACAAGACACAAAAACACATTTAACGGATGGTAACACCTTCTGAACACCAAAACATGTTTATTTTCAAAAGGGTGTTTAATTTTCCGGTTACATGTTTACGATCAACGCGAAGACGCATGTATAACGGGGTTGGTTCTTACAGTATATAGTCAGGCAGCCAGAGGGGCAACCCTGCTGTGTTGGATATGTAATACTTTTTTGTATGGTCTGAGAAAGGAGGTCATATTCTTGAAAAATTCGATTGATGACACTTTTCCAGGAGGGTTGGGCAACATTAGATATCTATTATTTCCCTTCTTATCAATATTTGATCGATACATACCACGTTTACGCCATTAAAAAGAAATTTATATATTATATTTATTTGGAAAGTCCTATCAATGAATATGTTTCTTTGGTAATTCTGAGCAATGAAAATATTTCAAGAATTTATATAATGAAGCCGTGTCGGGTTGGATGATTTTAGATATCGATTGTTTCTTTTCTGTCCAATATCAGTACATATGATGTGTGCTCAACAGAGTGCCCTCCGTCTTTTTGGACGGTCATTTTGCTAATGATTTGATTTAAATTTTTCTTACGACCAACCAACTGTCAAAAACCCCAAGATGGCCTATCTCTGTTCATGCTGAACGGCCTTGTTTAGTTACTGTAAACATAGGGTCTTCCCCTTAGCCAGAAAAAAAATACATGTATACTCTAGCTGGAGTTGGCCAATTCCCATGGGAATGTGGGATTGTATACATCAACGGCTGCCTGGCTTGCTTAGGCCCTGCCTATGACCCATAAACACGGATAAACGACCTTCTCTTTGAAGCTTTGTGACTGTCCAGAAGGCTTGTGCCTGGGAAATTCTAGACATGCCTTGGCTGCAGAGTATGGTACAGCCTGTAAGGCTACTTCATGTGGCTTGTTACTGAAAGATATACATGTAAGAGCAGTTGGGTGCAAGCTTACTACCTTTTCCCGTGTTTTCTTTGCTGATTTTATTTTACCCCGTGGTTACAACACCACCTTCTTTAAAGGACTGTGCAACTGACTTAATAAAAAACAAAAGACCAACTGACAGCAGTTTGGTACAAGCCTGCTACCTTTTCTTATGGGTTCCTTTGTGAATTTAAGGGTTTGAGGGTGCAGTGGACATCCACGAAGGAATTGAAATCTATTTAGAACAATTTTTGTTTTTCAAAAAAAACCTACCCCACGGTTGCAACACCACCTTCTAAAAAATGATAGTGCAACTGATTTAATAAAAAATCAAAGACCAACGGACACGCATGTTAAACAAAGGTTAGTGTTTTGCGGAAATGTCCTTCAAAAGTTACATAAAGAGACAGGACAGCTTGACTGACATATTGTTCCATCTGGATATACATGTATGTCCCAATCATTTTCTGATATATTCTATACAAATAATGATCACTTGTAAACATGGTGAAATCTTGTGCAGATTGAGCTGTCAACCAATTAGCTTTCCTCAAAGCCATCCAATCTGTGTTACTGTGTGAATTTCATGCTATTCTATTAAGAGATGGCACAAATGAGTCTTCTGCCTTTGATTTTTGGCCTTGTTCTCAATTAGGTATGGTATTGCACCAATTTAATTTGGGAAGTCCCTTAAAGTGAGAGCAGTCCAAAAAGGTAAACTCCTCCGCATTGCCCTATGGGCCACTATGACTGTACGTTCTACCATTTTAAGGATGACACAGACGTCAGAGCTCTTCTGCTTCTGGCAGTTTTGAATTTATAGACCCCTTGGGGCCAGAAATCGTAGCTTCGCTGAAATTGGAGGTCCGTTCTCACTTTCGAATGGCAACATGGAATGATGTGTTCTAGGTCAATATGAAGGTGCACCTCGTCAGACTGCTCCCAAGGTCACCACAGGAGGGCGTTAATCCTATTTGTGCTCGTTTTCGATCAAAAAACAGTATTTTGGGCATAATTTTCTAATTTGTTCATTAAAATGATTTTAAATTTGTCACAGGTACTATTTGTAACATTTCACAAAAGAAAAATTACTATTTAATAAATTTGGGGGGGGGGAGGAAAACTCTGGCTTGCTTGTGCAGCCTGACTGGTTACAATCTCGTTTTCATGTAAAAGATGGCAAAGAAAAATCGAGGCCTCATACACATACATTGCAAATAAACTTTCTAATAAATTGAACAATGGAGGAATGCTAGAGTCTCTTAAATATGATTACCCGCTTTATTGAATCTTTAGAGTGCTTTGCAAGTTTTAATGCTTTAATGTTGACACAATGTATGTGTGTGTTGACTGTTGATGCTTAATGACACTAAATGCATGTAGCATAACTGCTTTGATAAGCCCCTTTTGAATAACAATCACCTCAGATATATCACGCTAGAATCTGAACCTTTGGCAACTTCAGTTAAATGGTTCACACCATGTTCTCCTTTGGCTGCTTCAGGGTCGGTAGTTTTTGATTAAAAACCAAATTATTACAATTTTTTTTTATTTGTAAAAATAAATATGAAGGCGAATTGGCTTAACTGCGTGTATCTGTTTTCAAAGCAAGTTAATTTGTTGCATGTGTTAATAGGCCATCTCGTATGGTTTGTGATCCAGCTCCTTTGTGATTGAGTAATAACTAACGCTTGATTAAAAGTCACGTCATTAAAAAAATTTTGTTACTGGTTTCACTGCATAGTAACCAACAATTCTCATGTCATTTAATACGGGCGTACTTGTTGAAATGAAAGGTACAATACGGTAGATGCACACTGATACCTTTATACATGTTAAACTCAGAAAGGGGCACTTTAAATACTGGGAGTGAAATTTTAAAAAATTTAGAAATCCTTCACTTGACTTAATGCACTGAATCCAGTTTAAGTTGAAACAGAGGACTGGAATTGAGAAAGAACCCAGCCAGCCTAGATTGTGTGTAATGCATAGTGCTTTTATACTTTTATAAAACCAGGAACGGATAAACTTAACCCTAAAACATAGGGACTTTTTATCAGGGCACATCCTCAATCCTCCAAAATCCTCCAACTGCCCAACTTAAAAAACATCAGAAGAGGAAGAAAAACAAAACAGAACTAGTTAGAAGTGTTTGTAAATAAGTACAAACACAGAGCTGTTTCGGGACTGTTTCACCAACAAAATAAGTATTGGCAATTGTGATGAAAAACCTGGCGTTAAGAAACTATGAGAGTAAAAATGAACAGTTTAATATTCTGGACGTGACATATACCCTGAAAAAGATTAATTTCAACCAAGAATCACAGCAGGTCACGGAACTTCTCTTCCACGTGGAACTGATGGAACATACCTTTCACATCAACCATGAAGGCCACCTCCTCCTTCCTAAATCTGCATAAGACACCGAGAAGACCATTCGTCATGTTTGGACCTTGAAGGAGATGGTCGTTCAGGAAGACACCACCATACTTCGCTGAGCGATCAAACACTACTCTTATCTTGTCTGGCTTTTTCAGTGATAGACTCCGGTGTGTGGCACATAGTTCCCCCTTCCCTCCTCAACATCAAATTGGTCCAGGGAAACTCTCTCTGCACAGTTTTAGATGACATCTTCCATGAACTCTCGGTAGTCCTCACGGAACTTTTCATTTCTCCTGAACCTTTCCAACAGCTGGTTCCATCTCTGCACAGCAAGCTGACGGTTATTGGGCAGGGTTGCAGTGTCAGACTTCAGTGGTAGTGGCATTTGATAGTGTCCATTGGAAGTTTTCTTGATTCCCATTTCCATGACATTAAGAAACTTCTCATCTTCTACCGAGTATGGTTTCCGTTGATGATTTTCCACAAAGTCTGATGCCAGCACCTTCAGAACTTTCTCTGGATTTAGCACTTCTTTGATTTTTGTGCCGTAAACGAAGTGTCGGTTGCTCCGTTGGACGGAGGCAACCACTTTGTTGCATACCACAGGTTGGCCATCCATTTGTCATGCATCGTTGCACACGTTCCCAATTACTCCCCAGCCAAGTAGTGGCCTCTGGCCGTAGGGGTCGTCCTCACCACCAGCAATGATTTCTCTGGTTCTGACCACTCTTGGGCAACTGCTTCTGATTAGAAGAGAGATCTGCAGGGTTGAGTCATAGGGCATGAGTTTGTCAGCAAGACACTGCAGATGGGGCCACTGATGCACCACTGCAGGCTTTGGTATCTGAAACTTTTTGGCAGGAATGCTGTCTCTCTCGAAGCAGACTGGAAGTTGAACAGTGTGCTCTCTACTAATGTCAAGTACCTATTCGACTGCTACTGATACGGACGTTTTGTTCTTGCATTGTACTTAGCAACAACCCTGTCTGTGGCCCTTGCAGGTTCATCTTCTTGCACAGTGCTTTGGAGACAAAGCAACTGTTTGATTGTTCGTCCAGGATTGCATATTCAAGGAATTCCTTTGATGGATCTTTCTGGCTGCGAATCAGCACTGGGATGATCATTGACTGATCACCTTCTCCTTCTTGGTCAGGCAGTGAACACACCTGTATGCAATTGGACAGACCATGGACGGTGACAATTTCCTTGGGTGGAGTTGCAGTTGTTACCTTGTCAGCTGGTTCTTTACCTGCTGTTGCTGACTGCGGGTGACTAGAAGTAGTTTCCTCTGGCTGTCTTCGGAGAGTTGCGATGGAGACAGGTTAGATGGGCACCACTGCAGATTTGACAAACCTTCTGTCATTACATTCTCGCACTTGATGATTTCAAGCGCGTTCACAGCCCATGCACAGTCGCCTCTTGAAGAAGAAATCCTTTCACTCCTGGAAAGGTTTATGCAGAACGCGCTCACAATCGTCCAGTAGATGGTGTTTATTGCAGTACAAGCATGAACGTTCATCACCTGAGAACTGCACTCCATTAGTTGTTCCCTCACTTTTGCTGGATGCTCTAGTCTTGTCGCTTCGACTGGTTGTAGTGGAAAAGGAACTGGTGTTCTGACCTCTGGCATGCTTTGTCGAAGCATTACTTGCACTGGAAAGTTTATCTTGACCTCGACTGATGCTCTGCAACTCTGGAATATTTGCTTGGTCTGCAGCAACTTTCACAAATTTCACAAACTCAGTAAATGGGGGGTAGGAACTCTGACCATGGATCTGCCTCCAAAAATTAATCTTGTCTCGCCACTTAGTCTCGAGATTAAATGGCAGTTTCTCGACCAGGTGAGCATTTTCACTGGCGTAGTCTAGCACTCCCAGACAAGGTGTGGTTGCTAGTGCAATGTTGACTTTCCCCAGAAAATCTGAGTAATCTCTCAAGCCCACTGCATCTTTGGGCATTAAATTTGGCCATTGTTGCAGTTTACTGGTGAAGGCAGAGCTCACTACACTACTGTTGCCATACCTCTCGTTCAACACATTTCTTGCTTGCGTGTATGCATGTAGTGCTCCACCAGCTGCTTTGGCCTGCTAGTCCCATACTGATTTAGGTAGTTGAGCTGTGTGTCTGCATCGAGGGGTTGACTGTCTATGAGGGGATTGAAATAGTTCCGCAGCAGAGGGGGTATTGTAGGGGGCACCACTGAATAGGGGGACGGCTATCTTTGGTAGCTGACTAGACGCAACTAGGCGTTGATTCACATCATGCTGCTGTCTACTGGACTCAGTCAGTTGTGAAATGCATTTCTCAAGCACTGAACAACATTGTCATCCATTCTCCTCCACTCTGGTAATGAAACTCGGGTGCACTTGCTTGTTCATCACGTCTGTCCTGCTCGGCTGACAAAACCAAGTGGGATGACACATTGCCCTCTGATGCACTTTCATCTTGGGGTACAAGAAGGAGGGGAGTGCTGGCCTTGTTGCGAGTTGAGAAATTTCTGCAATTGTTCACTTTTGTTGGCAGTGATGTCTGTTGACTCTGATTCCATGGAACTGTTGTCGTCTGACTCTTCTATCACCTGCATAACTGCTCGGGTCTCTGCTAGTTGTTTTCCTAGTTGTAGTTGTTCCAGCTTCTGTTCCCTCTCGTTTTTCATTGCCTCAACTTTCTTTGCTTCTTCTAGCTCAAGTAGCTTCAGCTCTTTCTCCTTCTCTGCAAAATGCCAACTGCACCTGCAAAGCGGCCTCTGTTTTCTCAAGTTCCAGTTTCTCACGGAGTATGGACAATGTGGCAGATGTAGTGGATTTAACATGGCTGGATCTACTCTTCTTTGACTTATGGGATTTATGGCTCGACGAGGAGTGAGCACTGGCGATGCTGACATGGACATGACGTAAAACTTGCTTTATTCACAGTTGTGGAACCACAATAACGACTGGACTTTGCCTGTCCTTCGACTGTTATTCAGTTGTTAACTTCGATTGTTATTGTGGCTGCCTCAGACACAAATGTTCCTTGAAGAGTTTCGAACTCTCATGACTCTAGAATATGTCTCAAACTTATGAGGCCGAAATGATTGTTCATTCACAACTTGGTGGACTATCACACACAAACGCTGGGTCACTTGACACTGCTCTGGTGATGTGTACTTGCTCACTGAGATTGAGATAACAATCTGCAATTTAATGAAGCAGAAAAACACTAATAAGAAAACTGCAATACATGGAAAATTGTAACAGTTAACTTGGCAAGCTGAGTCACAAAAAGAAGTCTAGTTACTAATTTGCAACTGTCATGACTGTTATAGTTTCCCGACTGACGGCGTCAACGAATCAAAAAATAGTCCAAAGGTATCTGAATAATTCGAAACTTGAGTAACCAGAACTGTCCTTAAATCTTCTGAATCTCTAGCAATCAGTTGAAAACTACTTCCTGATAAACAGTATGGCATAACATCAACAGCACATTGTTGGTCACATACATGTGTAAAAGTGTAATCAGGGATCACTGAATGGTTATCCTCTGAAAGATGCAAATAAATCTCAGGAAATATGAACAAATAACTTAAGCTGTCTTATCCAAAGTGCTCTAAAAATATGAAGGAATATACTTCTTAATGAAATGGGGGTTTCTTGGGTTCCACAGGAAGTAATAAACTGAAGATTACTTTGATTGACTTGGTGAGTTACGAACATGAAAATGTCTTAATGACAGCATGGTAAAAAAGATGGCTGCCTAT